GCCGGACGTCAATTGCTGGACGTCGGTTGTCAGATGGCAATTGTCAGACGTCAAAAGTGAAATCGCGCACCGCGGTCGGTTCCACTGCTGGTAACAAAACCGCCCGCCAAGGTTTGCACTATGACCCAGGATAACATGCATATCTAACTATTGCACATCTCAGGGCATGGGTCGTTGAACTTTTACACACGATTGGTCAATACGCCCCACCTTTTGACCATCCCAGCCTGAAGCTCGACGTAGCAAGACCGACATTGCAATCCCGACGTTACGAGCGGTTATATTCCTGTCGGGGTGATCGTCACGCAAGACAACCGGGCAGAAGACAACAGGCTTTCGATGACGCCCGCACTGATCAGGTCCTGGACATGCATCATAAGACGTGGTGCCCCCGAGACAGGGAGGATTTCTGGGTTCACGCGCGATTTGCTGCCCTCAGCACACTGCATCTTGCCAATCCGTCGCTGGACTCTTGACTTGTGACTTGCCTGCGAGTCCTTCTTGTTCACGAACATCTTCAGATAGTCCATCCTACGCACTAGTGGACTTTTTCTGGCTTGTACTGCAACATGGAAACTCAACGTGGAAAGACTCGGTTCGAGACGAGTACGCCAGTCTTGCACCCTGTCCGTAAGTGTTGTAAATTCTATCGACTTCGTCCCGCATCGCCTACACGACGAGCTCACCATGCAATACGCCATTGGCAGAGGTCAGCTCGTCGGCCACAACACTGCACAGGGACAACAGCTTCATTCTCTCGGGCTATCGGTAGTGTGCCCTTAATGCCCGAATATGAGATGCGACGTTAATCGACCGCATAGTGACGTGTCGTATTCGTACTGGCAATGTTTGCGAAGTACATTTCAACTCCACAATGAAACAGGTGCGTTAGCTTCACGCTAGATACACATCGCCTGTCTGACCAGCGACAAAGTCAACATTTGGTCGCATGCCCTGGGATCGCTGTGGTTTCTCCATCAATTCTTCGATGACTGTATCAAAGACGACACACCCGCTCTGTTGACCTCCGATAGGTTTGCCATCGGCATGTTTGACATGTCAGTGGCTTTGTGCTTCTTCTTCTCTGCAGCCTTTCATACGTTCTGTAACCACAGCCGCAGTGTTTACAGACTTAGCAACCAGATGGATCACTTAGGTATCGTCCTATTGATGTGGGGAACCGGACTATCTGGCGCCCATTTTGCCTTTCGATGCCAGCGGACTGCATACACGGTCCATCTGGCTCTTATGTCGGCCTCCGCCGTGCTGAGCGGCCTCGCCACGCTACGACCTGCTTTTCGTGAGACGGGGGACCAACAACCGCGTGTTCTTGTCTATGCCTGTTTCGGTATCGGTCTTTTTGCGCCGGTGCTCCACGGCTTGTATGCCTTCGGGCTTGCGGAGCTCGACGAGAGAATGGGTTTCAGATCGTTCCTGGGCTTGGCGTTGCTCAACTCAATAGGAGCCTCTCTGTATCTCTACAAAGCACCGGAGCGGTGGTTGCCTGGCAGGTGTGACCTTCCCGGGCAGGGCCATAACTGGATGCACGGGTTCGTGCTTGCTGGAGTATGGATGCGGCGTAACGGCTTAGTTCAGCTGGCGATCCTGAAAAGCGCAAGCCAGGATATTCTATGCGTGGTCGAATGAAGGGACAATCATTCAAGCGCCAATGACGACCATGATCCGCAAATGAGATGATGGGCATACACTTTGAGGGTTCTCTTGGAGAAAGAGCGGGTTGGCATCATAACAAACGGAAGCTAAACCTCAGTACACCATTCATCACATGCGTGATGCTCTCGAGCCGACTATCTAGGCTTCTTCCAAGTCCTTGTGACGAAGAGATTCTGGATCCATCCCCAGGAAGCCGCAGACAGACAAAGATGAGGGAACTAAGTCGTAGCCCTTCCATCACGGTGTAGCCTAAATCAGCCGAATGCGGCTCGGAAAAGGCGGAGAGGGCAGAAGGCTCGTAGTGTGCTGGCAGAGAAGACTGTTCCTTGGTCGATGAAGAGAAACCGTGCTCTCGGGATGCGCATCCACGGCGGTTAGCGATTTGCGCTGGTGTTTTGGTGCGTGGCGTCGTGGCGTGGTGGTCCACGGAATGCCCAAGGGCCCTACGCTGTGGTGCGCCGAGCGTGGAGACTTCGGCTAAGGCAGCTACGCAGGCCTCATGGTTTAATATTGAGCTTTCAACTTTGACCTCCCACTAGGTTCGTGCTAGACGATGCATCCTCTGTGCCAGTGCCGACGTACTAGGCGAAATACGAAATATTAAAGTCAGTCTGCGGGATCGAGATGGAGGCTAGACCCACGTTCGTCATGGCACTGACTGCATGCAGCCTTGAGTAGATGATGAGTGTTTGGGTGATCTTCTTGTTTGTTGCTCGTATTGAGATTTAATTATACAATAGTGGTGGGTGGCTTCAACCCGCCATAGCTGTGGAAAGGGACATAAAACACCTTACTGTCCGCCCAGTTCTCTAGAGCCACCGATCCTTGGGTATCGCAAGCTTCGCATCATGGATGCCCAGAAGAGAAAGCGACAGGGCCCACGCCTTACCAGTCAAAAAAGACTCATCTGGCCGCACCCCAGTGCCCCATCATCTTCTGATGACTCATCGTCTTCTGATGATGAGCGATCATCCAAACGACGGAGAGTGAACTGGGAAGTGGATGAGTCGAAGCGAGCAAGTGACAACGACAAAGGCAAGCAGGTTGCCGCCATTATGCCCACGTGGAAGTATCAAAAGGCTGGTGGAGGCGTGAAGCTCCTACCAGTGTCAACGCAGGTGCCAGATCGTCTCCCGTCCAAGATCAAAACAGAAGGGGCAGCGCCTGCTTCTCCCGTTTCTCTACTGAAATCGCTTCGCGATTGGACCATCAAGGACAGCGGCGGCGGCTCCAGTTCATCTGTAGACACAAACACGTATCACAACACGAAGAACTCTTCAATGTTCAGACTCGGCACGGGAGCAGTAAGATCTGCCCGTCCTGATTCTTGTTGACTTGCTGACACGCTAGACCACGGAGGACCAGACCCATCTGAGCAAGCAAAATGTTGACGATGTCTTGGAGATCATCACTCGTCAGCACCAACAGAGAATCAGTGTTCTGGATCAAAACACGAAAGTGTTCCCGGATTCCAATCTGACTCTTTTGCCCGTCTTTCAAGACGGTCAATGGACTCTCGGCTATTACTCAGCGGCCGGGCTGGCCGTGTACGAATCACTTCCCGACTTGTCCAGGCGCGAGGCCATGGTAGAATATTTTCAAGACTACCGCAAGACACAACGCGGCTTGCTCGTCACGATCACAGCTCCACTGATCCGCCCAAAGTTTCACGATTCCGGCGTGTACCTCCTAGTCACGGCTATGCTCCTCATAGCAGAGTGCGATCTCCCGAGCAGCATTGACTACGACTTCTGGAAAGAGGTGTTGAAGCATATACTTCCGTCTCATGTAGACTACCGAGTCATTTCTCAGCCCAGTCTATCAAACACGCCATCGTCAAGTGGTCGCTTAGATCTGGCCAACTTTGGACTATCGGCTGGGGTTTCGCCAGACTGCCAGGGATGCTTCTTTCATAACAATCGGAAGGTGCGCATTAAGAATTTCAGCCTGGAGATGTTACCGAAGTACCGTCAGTCGTTGCAGTCGGCTGAGAAGGCTTGCCATGCACTGTCCAAGTTGACAAAAGTGCCATCAAAAAAAGGTGGACGTGCTGCCAGTGAAAACAGCCGCCGGGTCATGCGAGCACTGCAGTTCGCCAAGTCGTCCAAGAGTTGCCTGCAGTCGGAAATAGACAGGCTTGTCGTTCAGGGTAACTGACGACCTTCAAAACAAATATCAGCGGAGATATGAGTCTCCCTGTCCCTTTCCCTTTCCCTTTCTGGGTTGATGTGAGCATGTGCGGAGCCCAGGTGCCCGTGAAAGAGGAGATCAACTAGATTCATACAGTCTTTCTCGCCCTTCGCCTCAATTTGGTAAACGAAGTTCGACGACGATGCTGATGCTCTGGAATTATTTCATGAGAGAAAACAGTTATGATGTAGATAGGAATTTGCTTTAATATCAAAAAAACATGAGTACAAAACATTGGCGAAGAAGGGTGATGAGGCGCAATAATGATGCAGGATATAAGTATGCGAAAAAGAAAATCGAATCGGCAAGCCTCGTGGCAAATCTTCCCTGCTGACCATAAGCAACTGACGTCACGGTCCGGTCCCCTCTACGCGCCATACTGGCGGATGATGACTGGCAGATGAAACAGAATACGGAAGCGCGTCGGAAAGCACTAGTCGTCCCTCAAATCGTTAAAATGGGGCGATGTGGCACCATCAATAGAAGCGTTCACCCCATCTCGCTTCCCGCTTCAAAGCCTCGCGCCATCTCAGCAGCTTCCTGTTTCCCAGTTCAAGAGGATGAAGACGGTCATTCTACTTTATGTTGCTATTGGCTTGACTTTGGGTTACTCACTTAGGCAGATGATGGAAGTCTCGACCGCCGTGTGGGAGAAGTCCCGGCTGCCGCGGGTATTTTAGTGGACCGAGGGCTGCCAGGGATAACGGCCTTGTTACCTGTAGACATCATTTTACCATCTCAGCGGACAAGCGTATCTAGTTGACGGCGTGGGTGGCTATGTCTGTTGGCGCGAAAAAGGCGTTCAACCTCGAGCGCCTGCCCAGCAGGTCAATTGCACGTCGATGATCAATTCTGTTCTGCACACGGATGCAGGTCCCACACAGAGGCCTAAAGTAGCAAGTCGCCATGAGAATCTCACAACACAGCTAAGCGCCCGACAGGCGGTAAGCCGCCAAACCGCCAGCTGCATAACCCAGCAAGCTAGCGGTACCAGCGCACGTTGTTGCTTGGCACACGTTGAGGGCGGCGCTTGCATTGGATACGGAAGCGCTATTTCGGACGGCGGACAGATATAAGGACGAACCGGTTGGAGTACATTTTCTTGTAATCAGTCTGAACGATTTTTGCCGCATCTCTTGTCTTCGTCCGTTTGAAATCGTCCCTGATCATCCCCGTTCGCTGCAAATACAGTATGGATTCTCGAAGCAAGATATTTCGCAAAGCGCCACGCAGCATCAGAACGCGATCGGCAGGCCTCATAAAGAAGGCTGCTGAGCTGCATCGCTTAGGCGCGCAGGTGCCCTTAACGATCAGAGTGGACGGCGAGATCATTACCCTGAACCCTCATTATACAATGGATGTCCCTTACAGAGCAAGTCAGACGGAGAAGGCAATTCAACCTGAGAGCGCGCCCACTCGGTGAGCCAGCTCATATGGTCGGGTCGACAGTGCTGGCAGTTTACGGCAAGACATCTACCAACAGTGGTTGGCTGATCGCCCCAATCCTGGTGAGCAGCTAGTATGGTGCGCTGGTCAACGAAACAAGGTATTCTTCAGGTCTGGGAACTCAATCAATTCATTTATTTGGTCATCACGGCTTCCAAGCACATGTACTAGTGGCTATCACAATACCAATTGACGCACGATTCAATGCTTTCCCTTTGAGACCTTGTCACCAACGAGGAAGACATGCCCCCCCCCATGCTGGTCATGATATGGAAGCAACGAGAGCGGAATGCTAACAACTTCAATCAATAGTGCTGATGCGCCGAGCTGATGCAGTCGATGTGGCCGGAGCACCTCTTCTTCTTTGCCGGTCCATCCTTCTCATCCCACGGTGACTTCCTCTTTCGGGGGCGGCTCTCGGAACAAGGCCACATGTTTTTCGCCATGGGGAAGACGGGCGAAGGTAACGTGAGTAAAGGTGGCGAGTCGAAGTCACCTTCGCTTGCGCGCGTGTCATGGCCGGTCGGAGATTGGCAAGGGCTTGTGGCAGCACTGGGTGGTTCAGAGGGAGAGCTGACTGTCGCAGACAAGGCGCCGGTGCTCTCGATCAACCAGGAACTCGGACGCGCGATCAGGTGCTGGACTCGATAGCTTGGTTCTACGCGATTGATGCACAAAAGAATGTGGTGGGAGGACCAAGCGCTCACGTCGAGGGTTGATTGTACGGTTGGCAAAGGACTGTAAGCACAGCCTTGTAGGTCCTGTGTTAGGAAGATAAGTCGCAGTGAAGAGGACGAGCCAGGCTCAACATAGACAGGTAGAAGCTCTCCCTCTGTGGTGAGTATGGTCTCCGCATGGCGTTGATTCCAGTACGTCACACGTCCGTCTCCATCTGTTGTCGCTTCAAAGCGAGTGTCGGGATACACGCCGGCGACGCATTCGAGATGCACCTGCAGTCCCTCTAGCGGAACGCCATTGTTGTCAAGGACTTGGCACGTCACGGAGATCATGACGGGTAATGTAGAGAAAGTAGGCTTGCGAGAGGGATGAGAAGAGAGCCCACCGCAACAGCCCGAGTCCCTTTTAAGTATGGTGCTAGGGCCGCGGGTGTCTATTCTGTTAAGTTAGAAGCGAATTTGGGCTTCACACGGGCTCAATGGAAGCGGAGAGTGGGATTTGACTTTGTCATTGTTGGTCAGTTAATCGGCCTAGCCGCTTGACTCCTTGGTGCTCGGGAACGGAACGACACTGTGCGGCCGCAAATCTCCGTCTGCGAGGATAGCAAGTAATATTGGAAAGAGACTCTTTAGCGAGCCGAGAAGGGTGAGGAGAGGCAAGCTACGAACTTGTCTAGACCACGCTTCCATCCGCGCACATGTGCTTGTGAATGGCCCAAGCCTAGTCCTGCACGCATCTAAACCGCTCGCTGCTCCGCTCTTGCACGGTTTCCCAGGTCTTTCAAGGTGTCGAAGCTGTGTGAGGTCTGTTCTCCGCCACCTTTTGGCGTACCGCGATGGTCGAGACTTGGAGGCGAGAGCCTCCAACGGCCTCGGCGACCGCTGTGAAGAGGCGGCCCATTGACTCCTGCAGTGTGCCTCCTTCAGACATGATCTCCTTCGGACATGGTTCGCAGGTTCGAGTCTATCCTGGTGCATTCCTCCCAGGACGCGTCCCTGAACAGCAGCTACGGCTTGTGTTCTGCTCCCGGCGCTGCCACATTGCGACACGGTCTGCTCGTCGCAAATCCATTCACACGCCCGCCTCACCACATCGATCCTCGCGCGGCGGCGCCCTGACAATGAGAGCCTCCCCCACGATCCTTCCGTGGTGTAGCATTTGTCTCGTATTTTTACACAGTGCCTCCGTGCACCCATGAACAACGTGTGCCGGGTCGTTCGGATGGGATTTGGGGGGTGAGGGGGGTGGTGGGATCAGTCCAACGAATCAGTCCAGCAAGTCTGGCCTGGCGATTACCTTAATTTGGTCATTCATTTCGTGCACAAAAGCAAAGCCCTCGTCGATTTGAATTGCTGAATGCTCCTTCCTGAATTGAACAGTCAGTGAGCTAGGTGCTTAATTGAGCAGAGGGAATGTCATGACATCTGAAACCGAAATTCAGATGATTTGATAATTTCCTCTGAGCAAGCCTTTGTGATTCAGATGAAGCTATAAATCAACCAATGTCCTCTTTCACCTGAACCTAGGAATCTTCAGTCGAAGCACATGTCCAGCTACATTTCTAATCTAAGCTCGCTCTTGCGTCACACTTTACCATCATGGGGATCAAAAGCGTCGCCATCAGCGCACCCTTGCCTCTTGTCGAGGAGGCCAAGTCCTGCATCGAACGGCTTGGTGCAGTTTATCATCAACGCGTTGGGGCCTCCACGGATGTTCTATGCACAACGCATCACCGACTGCGGTATGTCGACCTGGAAGCTCTTCGTGCTTCCCAACAAGAGACTTTCGTAGTCAGCATGGACTGGCTGATCGACTCCGGGCAGGCGAATGAATTTCTGGACCCTTCCCCTTACGAAATAGGTTCGCAAAGCAATGACTCGCCTTTCGTCTTAGAAAGATGCGTAATCGCCGTCACACCGACATATCCACTACCTGAAGGTATCGACAATTTGGATGCCGTCCGCAATGCCATCGTTCGACTTGGAGGGGGATTTGACTTTGCTGGTGACAACCTCGGCCGCATGACGCACCTTTGTACCACTCAGTTGGAGGTGTTCAACAGGCTTGCTCTGATCGATTCTGTGTGCCAATACAACAAAGAGCTTCGAAAACAACCAAAGTCCGATCAGAAACGCATCAAGCTTGTTCGTCACGATTGGTTAACGAGATGTCTGGCAAGCAAAAAGAAGCTGGATGAGGAAAATTGGCTGTTGAAAGCTACAGATGATGGTCAACTCAAGTCTGCTCATAAGAGGCATCTCTCAGTCGACGAAGTGGGTGAGGATGGGTTGAATGCGGAGTCCAATGGAGACGATGGTGTGGAGAAATTTACCAGGGATGGCGGGGACGGAGCCGACGCAGTGGATAGAGATCAAGGAGCACGGTATCGTAAATCTAGCGATCGCAACAGCAGGCGTCAAGATGGACCCGTTGTCGGTAAGAACCTACTGGGGAAGCGTCGACGGTAGTGCGAGCCGCATCGATCTGGTCAACCCCTGATCAAAAAGCTCGACTGAGTAATAGCATTGTGTCTTAGATACTCCCATATAAATTCAGTGTGCCAAAGGTCCTCAAACTTCGAGTGGTAGTCTCTAATTGATGACACTCTACTGTCAAGATGCCTGTGCTCCTGAGAGGCAGTATCCGGAATCAGAATGACAACGACTGTCGCAAGGGACGTCCTGCGCGGCATCCCCCAAAATCCGCGTAGGCCTGCTGATCGGTATAGACAGTGGGGCGCGTTTTGAAGGACGGCATGCGCCTGGACAACATGGCAATCAGCAGTCAAAACCAAAGCAAGGCGGCATGTCCTGGTACAGTTGCAGAAAGAATCATCCACATTCACCAGTCCAAGACGCTAAGACACAACGAAGACGGTTCGAAAGGATTCAACGCACTAACTCAATGCTACAACGCGCCTAGATGGCAGCCGTACCCTGTTGTTTGTCTGGCAAGTCCATGCCCTTGACGGCATGGCTGGTATACTTCCATTGCGGCTCACTGCGCACGCGTAAAAGGAATGGTCTGCTGGTGTTTTGCGTCTCAATGACGTCTCCGCATCCGTGCAGGCCGACAGATGCTGCAGGCCGACATTAGGTGCCTTCGAGTTCCGGGGAAATAGCATGCTCCTTCCAACAGGACCGACTGCCTTACATGTGTGCCTCAACCTGAACTGACACCCGGGGAGGCTGGTTGCTTTTGCTTCGTGCCACAGCGTCATCGATGCCAATTTTGATTTTCGACTGCCATCTTCCGAGAATCGAATCATTGCCCCAGGCTCGTGATCCAAGGATCGTAGTCATCCAGATCTCCTCTTTGGTGTCATGAATCGTCAGCGTGAGTTGGAGTCTGTCATACCTGGGGTGATTCCATTCAAGAACGAAAAGCTCGTAGATCCCCTCTTCCAGCTGGGTGAGGCTCATGTGAGTAACGGGGGTCTTAGGCTCCCATGGAACTTCAAGGTGACGGCCTTGATGGTTGAGGATGGCTACGGCGAGCATATCAACGCGTTTAGTGTCTTTTATGCTCGTATCTCGGAGGGATTCTTCTTCGAGCCATGTGGAGATGCTGCTCCAGCCATCTGGGTCGTCTTCTGCGTCACGACCCCGAATGGGTCTCTCTCTTCTATTCAACGACGGATATCGTCCCCCGCTGGATAGAATATTGGTTTTGGAGTCTGATCGGTCCAATGATGCTCTTCTTCTTTTGTTCTGGTTGGGGATGTCGGGCGTTCTGCAACGTTTCGTGGGTGAAAGATTCATTTCGACACCTTTACCCCCGGCTCCGTCGGTATCTGAAGTGGATGGGCTGTTGAGGGCAGCGACATGCGGCGAATTGCTTCTGCTTGCGTCATTAGACTCAGTGGCGCTCATCGAGCTATACGTTCTGGCTTCTTGGTTCACATTGTCGACAAGGTGGACAGAACTTTCCCTTTCTTGGCCATGAGTTTCCTTTGACGATTCAAATGCTCCTGCTCTGGTACAATATGTCAGCGCAAATTCGAGAGGGATATCTTGGGTTTTGGGGATGGAAAATACCCCAAGGCATCATCGTAGGCTGTCATTTCGTCCGAGAAGTCACTGAACGAGTCTAGGGATTCGCTCGTGGCCAGATCATGTTCTTCTTCATCCATGCTGCCAGGCCCATCAGTTATGGCCGTGACAGCACGAAAAATGCCACCGACTGCGTTATCGCAGACGGGTGTCAGGACAAAGCTTTTGGCACATCGGCCATCCTTGGACTGGTAGTTGGCAATGGGCTGCGTTGTGGGAGTATGGCGATCGGGCCCGTCATCGGAGTATCGCATGGTAGCATTGTTGCTTTGGAAAACTGGGCTAAGGGGCGTGGTAAACGGCATCACGATGGATTGAAGTATGATGATATGGAAGAGGGTGGTGCATGATTATCAAGAACAGACTGATGGTGGGGAGCCACAATTTATAGTTGGAGCACAATGGAGCTACAAAAGATTACAGTCTAGCCTTGGTCTCGCGTCCCCCGGCCTCCTCCTGGTCAATGCGTACGTTAAGAGTGATCGCGGTTGATGCACCTCACACTGAAGGCTTTGAGCCCTGCTCTTCGGGGCTGTCTCTCGTTGGTTTACCCCTTCACACACGTCATCTCGAATGTATCCAGCTGTAGCACTCCAGCTGTAGTCTGGTCATCAGAACAAGTCGAGGGTGGCTTTGCAGGTCTGAGGGGAATCGAGCGATCTTGATGGCGGAAATCATGAGACCATTTCCCTCGATAGCCTGGAAGACGCAGCACTCACCAGCCGGAGCAGACTGCGTCTGACCCTGTGGCAGCCGTGCCCATTGGAGCTGTGGGCAGGAGAAGGCCGAAGCCACCGCCACCACAAGCTGCCGCTGTGCTGTATTGACTTTGCAGACATAAATTATATGGGTGAATGGCTGGTGAAGGCTTTCCTCACAAGTTTCTCAGTGCCCTCTACTGATGTTCTGCCGATGTGAATACGAGTGTAATTGCGAAGGGTGCGGCAGCTGCCATTCGGCTGGAGACAAGGAAAAGCAACACTCGTCTTTCAAACACTTTCGTTGTCGTTTATCACCCGAGATTGGGCTGTTCCGTCTGGGTACCTCTCTTTCACTGCCCTGGGTTGCAGTGAACTCAGCATGCTCGCGGCAAGCGGCATGAGAAAGATCTCTTCATCGGTGCCATTCTTTCCAAAATGTCTCTGCCAGCTACGACAACTTCTCCGGAGACCCGACAACACCGCAATGCCATGAGGCTGCTTCTTTCGCGCCATCAAAGAACCACCCCGCTCGATCCAGCAACCCCAGTGCACAGCACTAGACGTAAGAACTATACACACTATCGTCGTCATCATCAGAGAAGGCGCTTTGGCCTATGGGAATGATGCCCTGCGAATCCGCACTGGACAACGACGATATCTCTGCCGACTCCATCTCCAGCGACTTTCGCATCCACTTTTTGTATTCCGAAAACGCCTTGTTGACGGCGCTGATCACTTTTGCAATTCGTCGGCTCTGTTCCGCAGTGTTCTGACGTGCGCGCTCCAGCTCTTGGACGAGGTCGTCGATACGATTCTTGTCAGTGCGCTGTGCTGCACGTAGCATTGCTACTTCTTGCCTTAGTGTCTCATTGTCTCTTCGTAGCAATTTGGCCTTTTGCGGTGGGTCTTCTTCGAGGCTTAGAATCTCCACCGCGGGCCCGCTGGACGCGATCGTCACTGGCGGGCGTTTCCATAGCTTGTGGAGGTCACCCAATCGTCGACTTCGGTCATCCTCGTTGTGCTGTTGCTTCGCCCTAGATGGCAAGGCCGGAAGGCTCTTTTCTGTCACGGATGGCTCGGCACGCATGGCCTCTGAAAGGAAACAAGGATACACGATGTGTGCACTGCGTTCGTGTCTTGGTAACAAGGAAGTTTGTTGGTTTTGTACCCGAGAGAGACGATGAGGGCGGAGTGGACACGATTCTTTTCCGATCTCTGTTTCCGAAATCATTCCGTGAATGCCAGGAAACACTGTACGGTACAGAGCCAGCGGCATGGGGCCTCAATCTTTCCTCGTCCCTTCCCATTCGAATCCGGGTTACAGCCAGAGTGCAGCACATGTGTAGTTTGAAATCGGAGCTGGAATTGACACATGACAATTGTGGTGTTGTGCACCCATCAGTGGTCACTAAGCGCGCGCTTTATTCCCACTTTTGGATATTCGCCCACGAAAAGGGCCTGCCATCGCTTCGCTTGCGTCAGTTCAGGTTCACTTAGCTCCAGAAAGTCTTACCGGCCGGCCGGCCATCGGCCCCTCTTCGCCCAATATTTGGGTGACGCTCGTCGAGCCAACTCATTGGCGTCGAGCAGCTGGAAGGTATCCTACATAGTGTATGAGGCTTCCGGTCGGGACTGAGGTCTTGTTCTTATCGCCCGCGTTTGCACTGGAGACAATGTCTCGCAGAAGGAATGGGCGCGCCCACTTGCGCTGTGCCAGACTGGGAAGGTGTACGCGCTATTTTAATATAGACAGGCTGCTGCCGCGAGGATGGGTTCCAAGGTCAGTCAGGAGCTCAAAGCTATACGGGAAGCCAGCGCCTGCACTGCCACCGCTTGTCACAAGTGTGCTGCTTTTGGACAACGGCGAATAGTCGCAATTCACTTTTGAACCCGTCGTACGACAATTTGGATGTCTCTGCTCCCTTTGTCGGCCGTTTGCCCCTGGCCGGTGACGGGCTAAAGTAATGGCTTCAAGTCTTACTGTCATGCTCAGAGCGCCCATATTGTAAAATAAGAGGGGGGCTTTCGGATCTGATTATTGAGCCCCGCTTCATAGAAGGTCATGGCAATCGATTGCCGCGTGGCCATTATCGTGTCACCCTGGTACGCTGCAAAGCGACGAGGCTGCTGTGTGCAGTAGCTCTCAACGTATTTAACATGAATAGCACGTCGCGCCCAAGCGATGGAACTCTTGTTCAATATCCACCTGCCATGGTTTTGGTTACCTGCCAGGCCGTCGACAGCAACGGCAACGCATTGCCTGCCGTTTCAGTGACTCTCAATTGCCGTGGAGGTGGTTTCCAAGCCCCTGTTCGTTTCTTTTCCACTACGGATGACGATGGCTTCGCTTCCGGTTGGCAAGCCTGCGACGCGATCGCGTTGAGCAGCATAGACCCTTGGATGTATCCTTTCGGCCACATCGTCTTCCACACGAATAACCAGCATCTTCAACATTTTGGTGTTGTTGAGGCTAGCATCGCCTTAGAGAGCCAACCCCGCCACCATGTGATATTGCGCGCCGACACACGTCGTCTATCATACTTTGTCGAGCAGACTCCGCGTGCTTACGCAGCAATCGCGTCTTGCCGGGGAGGGAAAGTTCTGGATGCCCCAGACAGCCCTCTGTTGCTACTCTTTGATTGATCGAGCTAAGCGGCAGAACTAGTCGACTGCGGAAGTGGGGTGTTCGGCGTTGCGAGGTTGAGCGATCGGAGATGGAAGACTCAGTCCATTACTTCCGAACGACGGCTCGCGAGCCATGCTGTACGATGTGATGCGGCGCAGTGAGAGTCCCACGTTCGAAACGGCTCAGATGTGAGCTGATGCTGCCAAAAGTATCCCATCGAATTTCAAAGTACAGCGCCGCTTCGAGCCACGGCGGGGCGCTTTGCACGTCGGACCAGGGGGCACTGGAGAGTGTTGACCGTGATGTATTTATTGTTGTTGAAACGAGAGGATATCGGGTTTACATACGCGAGAACCAATGCACAGTGAATGCTTCCGGTGTCTCCATTCAGAACTGACCTAAACCCATATTGCTCTCTCGACGAACATCATACTCCACACCAGACGACGACCGCTTCTGCTGAACTGCTAGTCTTCGTCGCTGTGGTTCAACAACGACGCCAAGGGCTGTCTGCGGCCCATGAACCTGGGTACAGGCCCCACGGTCTCGATATCAGCTACTACGACCGTCATACACCTCGTACGGGTATCAAGTAGGGGACCTCTCCACGGCATTCCCTGCGGCGCCGTCGATCCTCGTGTCAGCAAAGTGGATGGAAGCGGCAGCTCCGTGACGGGAGCAACGTGTCCGTCTCCCAGCATCAAGGCATGGGCTCGTGCGTGGCGCAATGTGGACGGCATAGAGTTCAACGAAGAGTGCACCTTGAATGGCTCTTGTTCCATGTCAGGGCAGATTGATCGGCCACCGGACAGGCTGCCTGTGGTGCCCCTAGAATGAAAGACTGAGAGAGGCCCGGCTGCGGGTGCCGCGTAATGGACGGCTGCTACAGCCAATGCAATGCTGCCTCGCATAAGGCCACGCCGCGACTTGCAAATCTCATGGCGACCATCGTGCCCCGGCATCTGCATGGTAACGTTGCTCATGGTAGGCGAGCGGTGGTGCAGTGGGGGGAGGTGAGCAAGGGGCGGTGGGTGACCCTTTATGGATGACGGATCTCTGAGCGCCCGCGCCTTGATGGAGGACTCGGATGCTTCAGCACCTGTCAAAAGAAAAACACCTAGTAAGGAGAGAAGCGGAAGAACAATCTTGATGAAGCTATTGGACCTGGCGCAGTCTTTGAAATGAACAAAAAAAAAGACGATCGCAGCCAGCCTTGTCAAATAGCCGGGCAAACCGGCCGGTGCCTTCGTCCTGTCCTGGCTTATTTTTGTCCATGACTCTACGCACAAGGGTCCGGCGTCAAGAAACCGCATCCAGGACGGCACCGGGCTGTGACCATCGGTGCAGGCCCCACTTCCATGCTCTTTGATTCGGCCCCGAACCGCACAGGCCGACTTCCAGCAGGGCGCGCCGGACTCTGAACCCCGCTCCCGACAACTATTCTTAGCAGCCGCCGACGCCGCGGCGTCAAAACCTAGATGATGACTCCTTCCCTGTCGCTTGCAATGCGTCCGATAATTGTTGTTCACGACAGCCATTGTACGGGATGTCATGAGGAGACAGCGCCAACATCCTCCATCCTGATGGCGTGCGATGTAAGCTTATGCGTGCACGGACCATGCATACCGTTCCACAGGCCGCCGAGGTATATCCGACCCCGCATCGAGAGAACGTCGTTCCGGCGGCATTGGAACACGGGTAGTCAGAGGTCTGCAAACGCATCACGATCTTGAGGCTCATCGTGCTCCTGAGGATCGCTGACTGCCCTCGGCTTGATCCTTCAACGAAAAGCAGCCCTTCTAG